ATAAAAAGACAAATTTTGGTTAAAAACGGTCAAACAGTGGACAATAAAGGGTTATTGAAGTCGTTGATTAAAGTTTTAGGCTCCATTCGTTTCGTTAATTCGAATGACAATTTAAAGTTTTATTATAACGTTTTTCCTCATGAAATTCAAATTTAATTTTTTTGGTTACGATATTTTCTCTCATATAATTGTGTAGTTTTTACTAATAATTTTACTTAAATGAAAAAAATCAAGAAGAATTTTCTAATAGCATAAAAATAAAAATTACGCTATCATATTGTACAGTTTTTAACTTTCAAATTAGGGGCAGTATATAATAACTAAAAAAATATTGAGTTTTATATATCTTAATAAATTTCATGATTTAAAATTAAGTGAGAATTATATCATAACTATCATAGAGTCATTTCGTATACATACACATGTATATGTATGTATATATATCACATAACCATGGAATGACGCAACTTGATCCTACAAAATCAAAAACAAAGTTGAATTCTTCATGGAAAAAAAAGAGAAGAAACTATAACAATTTGGCATGCCCACAATCAAACATGCCATATCGCAATTTATAAGTTGTAGGCATGTTATGTGACCATGTGAATATGCGCCAATAATCATTTTAGTCAATGGGACGACTTTGTAAAAAAAATGTCAATATAACATAACATATTGAATATTGAATGTCTCAAAATGTGCAATATTATGGACATTTTTTAACCTATCAAAATATACTCCTTTAAAATTTATTTTATAATCAGTTAATTATACTAACTCATTATTTTATTTTACTAATCAGTTAATTATACTCAACTCATTCTCACAGTTGGACACTGAAAGCTCACTGGAGACTTCAAGTGAAAAAAAGTAGGCAATCTTCAAACCAACGATTCCGACGAATCCGTGAATGACCAGTGATCACTGATTATGTGACTTTAGCCTCTGGTCATAGTTGAAGCGTTTCAGTTACAGAAGAGTTTAGAAGATAAGACGACTAAAATAGGATGAATACTGTGATGCGTTTATAATTTAACAGTAAAATCACACCCCTAATATTAATGCTAAGGTCTTTTGGGGGAAAAAAAAAATGCTAAGGTGAAAAATCAGTATTCTTCCACCTCCATTGTCTAAAGGTAGTGAAAGTACTGTAAACTATGATTAAGAAAAATGAAGAAAAAGATAGCTGGAAACATGGTCTTTAACAATTGGCATATTTTTATATGGACGTCACACAATTAGGTATCAAATGTGTTAGATCTGTTTTTAATAATTATTTTATCGAACTAAATTACTGCACTATGAAAGCAATAAATAAATAGACACAGGGAATTAATATCGCGGTTCAGTAACTACTTACATCTGCAGGGCTATGTCCAAACAGTAAACAATCCACAAGTATCAATGATTATAATCACCAATCGGATTTATACACTCAAAGACTCACTCTTTGATAATTTCATCGTCATGCCAAATGTACTTGATGGTCTTGTTCAGTGAGGACCACTAGTCTTTAAAAATTACACGGCGAAAATCTTTCGACTGACAGAGAGCTTCCTCCCGAAAGCTTTTAATTCTTTTCTCAAAGAATGAACTTCAATAAACTCACAAAGCTCACAAACTCGCAATACTCTTCTCTGAAAATATTATATTAAATCTGTAAATAAAAGTGAGCAACCTAGAGCTCTTTATATAGAACTTGCACTCCTTATCTCATTCACGTAAAACCAATCCAAGTGAAACTCGGATACGCTTCTCCGTATCTTCATGTTCACCTAATCCAATAGCTATCACACCAATTTAAATATTCTCCATAGTAGAAATCCTATAACCTGTGGTCTTTGTGCACCTAAAGCCGAATATTCTTAGACTTGAATTTTGAATTCAAGTCAAAGTAAGATTATCTTGATAAAGTCTTCTTTAAATCAACTCTGCAGACCATATTCCAATTTCAAATCCGGATCTTATCTAGTTTCAACCATCTTGAATTTGACTTGGCAAATCTTGGCAATCTCACGATCAATACCTCTGCACATTGAATTAATTCAAAACCGTAAGCCATAACCTGCTCTTCTAATGCGATTTGGACTTGAGCTATACTGCAACATCTTGTAGAACTCCTTGACTTGAACCCCACGTACAACACATCACTTGCACTTCGCCCTTGTTTTTTTTTTTTTTTTTTGAATTTACATCTTGCTAATAAATTGTCAGTCTAAAAAACCTAACAATCTCCCTTTTAGTATTTTTTGGCAAAACTAACAAAATCACCTAATAAAAGAATTTTTTTTAAAAACTATTCTCCCCATTTTTGGCAAAACAATAGCCAAAGTTCATAAACCAAAAAAAAAAAAAAACAAATAAATAAAAACTGAAATAAAGAAACTAAATCAAGTGTCTCCAACTAGAATTCAACTTCTTCAGCAGCTTGCTCCCCTTGTGTCTTCTCTACATCTTACTCCCCTTGAATCTAACATTCTCACATGAATTTTGCTTTTATCACCTGTTAAATATTTAGAACAACTATTCTCAAAGTGCCCAGAGTCAATAAAGTCCGACTTCTTTGTCCAAATTTTCCGATAAAACTTCGGTATTATTGCCTTCTTCAAATATGCAGAATATGGTGGATTGATTATCAAACTTTTTTTTTTAAAGCATTCAAGTACTTGTAGCCTTTGCAGTAATGACATGTAGGAACAAACCTCTTATGTCGAGAACGTGGGATAGTGAGATTCTTGTGGGGGGTAATCCAAGGTTCAGGTGTAAGCGACTCCTTCACAAACACTGTCTTTGAAGTTGAGTTTTTATCAGTGTATCCAAGGCCATGACGGTCACCGCTTGATTTTCTTAGTGTCAGAATATGATCCAGCTTGTCCGTTCCTGAATTCAGCATCTTCAGATTTTTCTGAGTGTTCTCCAATTCAGCCCTGGTCTCTTGCAGTTTCTTTTCCTTCTTAGTAACAAGTAATTCAAAATTAACAACAACCTTTTTCAACACATCATTCTCTTTAACAAGCTCATCAACTTGTTCAGGGAGAGACTTATTTATTTCGCACACTTTAATCCACTTACTATGCACACTTTTTGTATGCTTCGACGATGATTTCATCAGTCAATTCTTCACCATCAATACTGCAATTAGATTCGGATTTGGATATGTCATCTTTTCTGTCAAAAAATCCGTCGCATAACTTGTTGCAACATTGTCTGCAACACTTTTGGCAGACATAGGCTTAGTTTGGTATTGCTTTTTCCTCCCAAAATTAGCTTCTGCTTGTAGCAGAAGCTGATTTTAGTGTTTGGTAAATCTCCTTAAAAGTGTTTCTTGAAGAATTTTTTAAGAATCTACATCCAAAATCAGAAGTATCCTAAAAACAACTTTAACTTTTAAATTGTGCGGGAATCAACATAATACAATTAATGAAACTTTCATAATACCCATAATACCGCTAATAAAATTTAAAATTTATAATGTTCTTAGTCTAAAATTCAGACTCATAATATAATATAATATAATAATAATTTTGTAACAAATAATATCATAATTATATTAATAACTCTAATATTATTATTTTATCATATAATATGATATTATAATTATAATATCATATTATATGATAAAATAATAATATTAGAGTTATTAATATAATTATGATATTATTTGTTACAGAATTATTATTATATTATATATCATAATTATATTAATAATTTTAATAATATTATTATATTATATATCATAATTATATTAATAATTTTAATAATATTATTATATTATATATCATAATTATATTAATAATTTTAATAATATTATTATATTATATATCATAATTATATTAATAATTTTAATAATATTATTATATTATATATCATAATTATATTAATAATTTTAATAATATTATTATATTATATATCATAATTATATTAATAATTTTAATAATATTATTATATTCTATATCATAGTTATATAATATGTTATTTAATAATAGTTTTATTGTATTATATTAAATATAATAATAAATATATATTATATTGTAATTATATATGTTATATTGTAGTATAATATAATATAGTCGTAATTTTTAACTCTCTATAACAATTCAATCTCATAATTTACCAAACGCTATTACACTGATTTTAGAACCAGTACAACTACTATAATTATACTTTACCAAACACTCCGCTGCTTTTTGTAATAGCTGTTTCTTTTTTCAGCACATCTAAAAGTAATTTTTCTAAAATCTACAACACTACCAAACTAAGTCATAGTAATTATGTCATAGTAATTACTATTTGAATTGAAATTTAACAAAAGTTTCAAAATATTACAAAAATGACATAGTAATTATGATAATGATGTCACATTATATATATATATAATATAGTTATTGTTTTAAGGGATATTAATACTTTTATACCCTATCTCATCAAATGTATACTTTTAATTTAGATTTAATATATAAATCTATACATTATCTCCATCAACAATTAATTTTGACTTTCAAAATGACTAAATTATTCTTAAGAAAAAGAGAAAAAAAATTAAAACTTTTCAATATTATAAAAAATAAAAATAAAAATCTATTTCATGGATATTTTTCATATTTTTTTAGTCAAAACTATAAGTTTAACTTTTTGTAGTTTTTTTTTTCTTTCTTTTTTTCATTTATCACTTTTCATTTAAGGGTATTTAAGGTATTCTCAAGGTTAAAATTGATGGTTGACTGTAGAGTATAAATTTGTTTATTAAATTTAATTTAAAAGTATAAATTTGATGAGAATTTTTGAATAAACTTAAAACACAGACAATAAAATAGTAAATATCCCTTGTTTTTTTAATGATTTTGCTATATCTGTAAAAGCCCAAATGAACAATGGGCCCAAAATATCAAAATCGGTAGAGTGTTTTTAGAGCCCAAACTAGCCCATGTTCGTAATTTGTTCCGAAACCTCGTCAAGTTATCATCTGAGACTCCCAGCTCAAATTATGAAACGTACGAACCTCTTATTTCCGTTACTTTTCCTCTATCCACTCCTGAATCAACCCAACATTAGACACTCTCCACTCTCCTCGATCTTCAACTTCGCTCTCCGATAAAAACTCCGTCCAACGCAAGCACTTCCAAAACGATGTCGTCATATGTGCCCCCGCACCTGAGGAACTCAGACTCAACCACCACCACCACAACCGCCAACACCACCACCGCCGCCTCCAGAGTCTCCGCCACTGACTTTACCAAGCTTTCCTACACATCCAATGGCTTTCGCCGGACCTCCGCCACCGTTCCGCCGCTCTCCAAGGGCCTCGCCGTCGCCGACCCCGTTTTCCCTCTCTGGAAGCCTTCCGAGCGCGTTCTCGCTATGAATCCCGAACAGGTTCGACTCGACGACGTCGTTTTTCGTCTTTTGTAGCTCCTCATTGCGATTTCGGTTTTTCTTTTACTGGAATTTTGCACGAATTCGTGTCATTTTTTCCGGACTAAGAGTTGCATTTTGAGGTCTTGGTTTGAATTGCATTTTGTTAGGGTTTTTTCTTGAGCTACTTTCGCATTGTTTTTTTTTTTTGTGATTGTGATGCGTTTTTTTTATTTTGTTCCTTCCGTAAATTTCTGTCTATTATGCATTTCTCTTTCAGCTCGGATATAGTTGTTTTCTCATGTATAAAGTAGTAAGAAGCAACTTTTTCTCACAAACTCGAGATCCTTACTGTTTCGCATTTATATATAGTTTTCGATAATTATTGTAAGTTCTTCTTGGAAGAATTACAACTATTGATTTGGCCTGAGTAGAAATATATCACTGCATTTGTTTCCTCATGACATCTGGAAAATTCTGGTATTTTTTGTCTTGTAGCGAGTTTCCTCGTAGATTGAATTATAGAAAACTTGAAAACTTGTTTGCTTGTTTGATCATCCTGATTTGTTTGCATTTTCGTCCAGATAGAAGAGGTACGCTTGCGGCTCAATGTTGATGTTACTTCCCCTCCAGATTCCGAGCCTGCTTCTGCACCGATCGAGTCGTTCACAGATATGGTTGATTTTTATGTCTTAAACATGATATTTTTTATATATATATATATATATTTCTTTCTTTCTGATATATATATATATATATATTTTGGGGGAAAATGAGATATTTATGCTTTGATTGTTGAATTTAGTGGAATTGTTGGCTTTTGGTGCTTTCAGTGTTTGCACCCAAACATCATGAAGGATATAGCGCTTCATGAATATACTAGGCCAACATCTATTCAGGCTCAAGCTATGCCCGCTGCCCTCAGTGGTCGGGATTTATTGGGTTGTGCTGAAACCGGTAGTGGTAAAACTGCAGCATTCGCCATTCCAATGATACAGGTATGTGGTTATGGAATTTGGTAAATTGTACGTATCTTGCAATTGTTTTTAGTAAAAGTGTTGTTGTTGTTGTTTTTTATTTTATTTTATAATATATATATATATATATATTATATTTTTTATGGAGCCTCCCAACTGGTATTTTATACTAGCTCTCTTAACTATATTTCAATTATACAGCATTGCTTGGCTCAATCTCCTATTCACCGTGGTGATGGGCCCCTGGCATTGGTATTAGCTCCAACTAGAGAGCTGGCTCAACAAATAGAGAAAGAGGTACGAGCAGCTGGTTTTCAGATGCAGTAAATCTTATTATGTTTCGGTGTGATTGTGTGTGTGTTTTCTCTCTCTCTCTCTCTCTTTTTTTCAATAGTCATTTTAGTAACTCATGTCACCATAAAAAGGATTTTACTGGATTCAAGGAACTCTAGCTGAAACTTAGTCTTCTCAAGCAGTCTCTGAAAGTCGCATAGCTGGACATTTTTAGAATCATGTAATCTGGAAAGAAACCTGGAATGATTAGCATTCCGTGCCAGTGCCACACCTTATTTGAGTAGAACTTTATCACTTGTTTCACTACGGTTGTTTCTATGCTCAAGTACTTTTTACATCTTCTCTCTGTTTCCAGTCTGAAGAGCACTTTTCTTTTGCCGTTTGAATTGTTAAATTGCTGATCAAGAATATTCTTATGATAGTACAGACCCGTTTTTTTCATTGTTCCTTTGTTCTACATGTGATTGTGACGAGTTTCTGTTTTATTTATTTATTTATTTTTTTGGTTTTGCAGGTTAAGGCTTTTAGCAAATCTCTTGAGTCATTTAAAACTGCAATTGTTGTCGGTGGAACGAACATAGCTGAGCAGGTGACTGATGTGGCATCATAATTTTATAGTTAACGGTTGTAAGTTCTACAAGTATAGACAAAAAGGGAAGACTGTTGGTGTTTATGTTGATTTATTATTGTCGTTTATGTTTATCTATGTTTGGTTTAGGACAATAAGATGCACTTCTCGATTCTCGTAGTTGTGGTTATTTCCCTAGAATTTTTCCGTTGATTTTTGGTAAGATCTGAATCCTTAGTTTTAGTTCCTTGTTTTCTTCTACCCTAAGACCAAAATGCTCCTTTCTCTGTGTGCTTGTGGATGGGTTTTTGGATTCTTTTTATAAATAAAGATTTCTACTCTAATACTTGTTTAGCTGGCTTTGCTGCCGGATGCCATAACAGAGGTCTGAGCTACGAGCAGGAGTTGATATAGTTGTTGCTACTCCAGGAAGATTTATTGATCATTTGCAGCAAGGGAATACTTCACTGTCGAGAGTTTCCTTCGTTGTTCTGGATGAAGCTGACAGAATGCTTGACATGGGATTTGAACCCCAGATAAGAGAGGTACATGAAGCCTTCTTCCACCTTAAATAGTTACGTCTCTTTTTTCCTGAGTTATTATTATTTTTTTAAGCTTGGTTAGTTCATGCTCTCTCTCTAGATTTTTTGTTATGTATGTCTGATCTTTTTGTAAATATACAAGTGTATTTCAATATTAGATCTCGTCTGGATGAAATTCTAAATTTTGTGATACTGTATCAGGTGATGCAGAACCTTCCCGAAAAACATCAAACTTTGCTCTTCAGTGCAACGATGCCTGTGGAGATTGAAGCATTGGCACAGGTTAGGTGTTATGACTATTGTTTTTCTTTATTCTAGTTGGCTGGCAAGAAGATGGGAAAATTATTTATGCGGGCCCGTAATAATTGTTGTTGAATTTTTATGGCAAAGTTTTATTTTTGAATGACTGTGAGGAGATCTCTCTCTCTTAAAGCTTGTGTTGACATTGAGAATTTTGTTTCAGGAGTACTTATCTAAACCTGTGCAAGTGAAGGTAGGAAAAGTTAGCAGCCCAACGGCAAATGTGTGTCAGAGTCTGGAGAAGGTTTGTGAGAGTGAGAAGGTATGTATCTTTGGAAGAGGTACTAGAAAAAATTAAGAGCTTTCTCTGTAATCTTTATTGACCGGTTTTTATTCATTTCGTCCTTTTTGTTTCAGTCAAAGGATATTTGCTTATATTTTATGCTTAGTCTTAATGTCTTATATTGACAAGTCTTACATCTCTGAATTGAAAGGTTAAGCAAAGTTCCAATTTTGATCTTCTGGATTGTAGAGGTTGTTCCTTGTATCTGGAGATATGATGCAGAGAACAGCTTTGTTATGTTTTATGTGTTTAATTGTAACATGTTATTTATTGTTTTCAATTTTTCTTCTTGTACCCATTGTTTCTTGAAATGCAATAAGTTCATCTTTCACAATCTGTTGTAGATTGATCGCCTTCTAGCTCTTCTTGTGGAGGAAGCATCACGGGCTGAAAGAACTGGTCATCCTTTTCCCTTAACTATTGTCTTTGTGGAGAGGAAGGTATAGAGCAGCTATATCTCATCATTCTTTTATTACTTGATATCAGCTGTATCTTACATTCTTAAGACCAAATTAATCTTTTTAGTTTGGTCTTAAGAGACAAGCTGAAAAAGTATTTACATGCGTGTCACTATCATCTTGTTTAAAGCTCCATACATGCAAAATCATCTCTTTCATGTAGTTGTTTGTTGCCTTGTGGGCATGCATTGTATCTAGTGACACTCGTTTCCATTCTCAAGTGGATGTATTTGAATTCCGATAAGAGCTGAACCGTTTGGGACAAAATCAAAGAAAAGATCGAAAGAATAAAGAAAAGAATCAACTATAGAGCTTTATTAATATCAACACATATACTCCAATCCGCAGAACTTCGAGGGTCTGCTTCCTCCCCTTACTTGGAATGTTTCCAAGATTTGTACAACAATCCGATTTTTTCCCGGTGCCCCTTTCTATTCCTCTCCCCCCCTTTTATACATTTCCCTATAACAATCTTTCTTAGTAAGCTACTAACTAATACTAACAACTTCCACAATAAGCTATAGACAACCCTCTCAAACCAGAACCCCCTTCCTAAGCCCGTTTATTCCTCCTAACGTACACTTGCCTGAGTAAGGGCTTATCAATTACACACCCCCTCAAAAAAGTCACCTTGTCCTCAAGGTGGAAGGCAGGAAATTGGCACTGAATCACCTCAAACAGCTCCCACGAAGACTCGAAGTCAGGAAGATGGCGCCATTTGATCAAAACCTCCAAAGAACCATTGGCAGGGGGGAAACGTGTATCCAGGACCTGGTCTGGTTCAACTTGCAACGTCAAATCTTCCGACAAGATGGGAGGTAAAGATTGAGGAATATCCACAGAACCAAGTGCCTTCTTCAATCGGGATACATGAAAGGCCGGGTGAATCCGAGCATGAGAAGGAAGTTGCAGCCGTACGCCACTGGGCCAACGCAAGCAAGGATCTGAAATGGCCCGTAATAGCGAGGTGCAAGCTGTTCATTTACTTCACGTGCCAGCGTTCGATGTAGATACGGCTGGAGTTTCAAATAAACCATGTCTCCCACCTCAAACGTCAAAGAGCGGCGCTTCTTGTTGGCTTGGTCCCGCATAGATTGTTGAGCGCGACCTAAATGGTCTTTCAATTCAGCCAAAAGCACATCTCGATCGCATAATTGCCGCTCTAACTCCGATGTAGCCGTAGAACCGGCCTCATAGGGCACCAACTGCGGAGGATCCCGGCCATAGAGGACTTTGAAAGGCGTCATGGCAGCTGAAACATGAAAGCTCATATTGTACCAATATTCCGCCTACGGAAGGTGTGTAAACCACTGCCGAGGTTGGCCGGAAACAAAACAATGCAAGTAGGCCTCCAAACAGTGGTTGACGACCTTCGTTTGCCCGTTTGTCTGTGGGTGATATGCCATACTCCGACACAAAGTGGTGCCCTGTAAGCGGAAAAGTTCCTTCCAAAAGTGGCTCATAAAAACCTTGTCTCGATCGGAAATTATACTCCGCAGAAAACCATGAAAGCGCACTATGTCGCGGACAAAAGAAGCAGCCACTGTGTTGGCCGAAAACGGGTGTTTGAGGCCAATGAAGTGACCATACTTGTTGAGACGGTCAATGACAACCAAGATTGAGTTATAGCCGGCGGATTTAGGTAAGCCCTCAATGAAATCCATGGAAATGTCGTCCCACACACGATGGGGTATGGGCAGAGACTGCAACAAACCCGCAGGGGCCAAGGTTGACGACTTATGTTGCTGGCAGACGGCACAAGCAGCCACAAAAAACTCGACATCCTTGCGCATACCCTTCCAATAAAACTCCATTGCCAACCGCTTGTAAGTCTTGAAGACCCCCGAATGGCCGCCAATCTTACTACTATGAAACTCACGTAACAAGATTGGAATAAGAGGGGAGTGTGGAGGAACAACCAAATGGTCTATGTATAGTAAGTGCCCCCGTTGAAGAGAAAACCCCGTCAAAGAAGGAGTGCCACCCAATAACTCATTCACAATTTTGTTGAGCCCGGGATCCAACTTTACCTGCCGCTGCAACTCCTCAATATCAAGAGCCATTGGAGTGGTCATGACCATTAAAGCAAGCCCTGTTTGTTGCTTCGAAAGGGCATTAGCCATCTTATTTTCCGTACCCAGCTTGTATTGAATCTCAAAATTATAGCCAAGCAATTTACATAGCCATCTCTGATGCTCCACACTCACCAAGCACTGTTCCAATAGAAACCTCAAACTTTTCTGATCGGTGCGCACCACAAAACGTCTTCCCAACAAATAAGGTCGCCACTTCTGAATGGCTAACACAATGGCCATTAATTCCCGCTCATAGACCGATTTGGTGCGAGCGCGTGCCGAAAGAACTTGGCTAAAATAAGCGATGGGGTGCTGCTGTTGCATCAAAACCACTCCTATACCAAACCCCGAAGCATCAGATTCCACCATAAAAGGTTGAGAAAAATCTGGCAAGGCCAGTACCGGAATCTCAGTCATAGCCCTTTTCAAGTGCTGAAAAGCATCCTCGGCCTCAGCATTCCATTGAAAAGCGTCCTTAAGTTGTTGCGTCAACGGCCATGAAATGCATCCATACCCTTCCACAAAGCGGCGGTAATAACCTGTGAGGCCCAAGAATCACCGTAACTCCTTGATGGACTGCGGAGTAGGCCAATCCAACATAGCCTGTACATTGCTGGAATCCGCTGAAAGACCATCCTTAGAGACAATATGCCCCAAGTATTCCAATTGCTCCTGTGCGAAGAGACATTTTTTTTTTATTGACATACAATTGGTTGGCTTGCAAGACTGAAAGGACCTTGTCCAAATGCTCCAAATGGTCCTCCCAAGAACGGCTGTAAATCAAGATGTCATCAAAGAAGACCAACACAAAGCGACGTAAGAACGACTTTAATACCTCATTCATCAAAGTCTGAAATGTAGCCGGTGCATTTGTCAATCCGAAAGGCATAACGAGGAACTCATAGTGACCATCGGGAGTGCGAAAAGCAGTCTTAGGGACGTCCTCATCACACATGCGAATTTGATGATATCCTGATTTCAAATCTAATTTGGTGAAAATGGTGGCTCCGCACAACTCATCTAACAACTCCTCTATCACCGGAATTGGAAATTTATCCGGGACCGTGGCTTTGTTTAGCGCCCTATAATCCACACAAAATCTCCAATTGCCATCTTTCTTCTTAACAAGCAAAACTGGGCTGGAGAAAGGACTTGTACTCGGTTGTATAATTCCGGCCGCCAACATTTCTCTTACTAGCTTCTCTATTTCATTTTTTTGAAAATGAGGGTACCGGTAAGGTCGGACACTAATCGGACCGGTGCCATCTTGAAGAATTATGCGGTGGTCCTTCACTCTGTGAGGAGGTAAACCAGCTGGCATGTTAAGAACGGCAGCATGTTTCTGCAACAATAATCGGAGTTGCTCATTGCCTTCCTCTACCTTGCTGAAACCTTGCTCCACCCCCAAATGACTCATCTCCAAGTAAATGCCCTGACCCTCATGACAAATGGTGCGCATCATGGCCTTGAGGGTAACCAATGATCTCGTAAGACTAGCATCCCCCTTCAACATTACACTCTTCCCATGTACTTTAAATCTCATAACCTGAGTCTTCCAATTGACATTCATACTCCCTAAAGTCTCAAGCCATTACATTCCTAGAATCACATCTATCCCCCCCAACTCCAACGGCAAGAAATTCTCAATTATGGTCAAGTCTTGCATGGACAACACCACTTCTTTACATAATCCCTGCCCTTGTACCGACGCCCCCATACCCGTTTGGACACCAAAACCAGTTGTAGGAGTTATGGGCAATGATAATTCCGAAACCAATGTAAGAGAATAAAATTGTGTGTGGCACTGGAATCGATTAAGACAATTACCTCACGGTGACCAATCTCCCCCTTTATCTTCATGGCCTTTGGTGTAGTCAACCCTATTACGGAATTCAAGGACAACTCAATCACCTCAGTTCATAGCAACTCCTCTGACTCCGCCTTTGCCTCCACCAACTCAATTTCCTCATTTTCAAAGTCGTCATCATCACTAACATAATCCGCAATTCCCTCTTTTTACAGCGGTGCCCGATAGAAAACTTTTTGTCCCAACGAAAACAGAGGTCCCTATTCCTCTTCTCTTGTAGCTCCGAATCGGGCAATTTCCGAAATGGAAAGTCCTTCTTTGGCCTCTCGGCACTAGAGCTGCCTTGGGTCTGGTTTGCCGTGGTTCCCACTGATGGATTGGCTGTTAATCTTGCCGCTTGAGGTCGCCAAACCCGAGATCCTCCCATCTCCCTTCGCAACAACAAATTTTTCTCTTCAATTCGCTGCGCAATGTCTCCATGATTTCGGAGAGCCCTTCTGGCTTAAGTAAGCGCAATTCATCCCGGATGTCAGCCCTCAATCCATTAACAAAAATGCCTTCAAAGATTTCCTCCAGCACTTCTTGTAAAGGGGCAGCCGATACCTTGAAACTCCGCCGATATTCAGCCACCGTACCTGTTTGCCTAAGCGCGAAAAAACGCTCACACAAGTTCCCTTCCTGCGAAGAACGGGAACGTTGTAGAAGAGCCACCTTGAAGTCAATCCAAGTGATGAAAGGTCGCCGCTGATTCTGCCATTGGAACCACGATAGTGCATCTCTTTCCAGGGCAATACCGGCAGTAATCAGTTTCTCTTTCTCCGAGAACCTATTGATGGAGAAAAATTGGTTCATTCTAAACAACCAGCCATCCGGATCAATCCCACTGAACAACGGATAGTCCAATTGCTTTCGCCAAACCGGTGAGAACTCTTCACCTCCCCACGGCTCTCCATAGTTACCCACGAAATCCATGGAATCCCCAGCCTCGTTGTCCTCCCAATGACGTCTACTCTCTCTGCCAATGTTCCCGCCAAATCGGACTCCCTCGTAACGACCATCCATCCTCGGTCTAGGACCTTCATTCACCGTGCGAGCTCCTCCCCTTCACCATTTCGGCCATCGCGCAAGTCTCGAGCGTCCTCGGAAGTCCCAGCAACTCGGAAGTCGCCGTGCCGCCCTTCGCGAAGACTTCTATCTCTGTCGCCAGCCTCGCCGTCCCTGGGTTGGCCATTACGGCCATCACGGTTGGGATCGGGACGATTTCCGTTCGCGATTCGAACCCTAGCATGCGTGATTTCTTTGCCGACTAGGCTCTCCCTGCCGTCCACACCCCGGCGTTTTCCCCGCTCCCCTTCCCCGAAAACCCTAGGTTCGGCCAGCTCCCCCAGTTCGCATTCGTCCTCCACCAGACCCGTAACATCGCGGTTTATACCTTGGACCAACCCGTCCTCTTCTTCCCAAACCCTCGCGGCTCCCGACTGAGATCCCTCCGCCGGCAGGTTCGCCGTTGCCGCCGCGATTAGCAGTCACATCTGCTCCTCCATCAGTCGGCGCAGATATGACACATTCTGGTTCATTTCGGCCATGTTGTGGTTAATTTCAGCCCTACTATGGCTCATTTCAGCCCTTACCTCACCAATTTCCTTTTCCACCGAAACCCTAACTTGTTGAATCTCCTTCTCCATTGCCTCAAATTTCTCTTCCGTTTTTCTGGCCGCCATTATCACCCAGAAAAAGATGCTCTGATACCAAATGATAAGAGCTGAACCGTTTGGGACAAAATCAAGAAAAGATCGAAAGAATCAACTAGAGCTTTATTAAATATCAACACATATACTCCAATCCGCAGAACTTTGAGGGTCTGCTTCCTCCCCTTGGAATGTTTCCAAGATTGTACAACAATCTGATTATTTCCTGATGCCCCTTTCTATTCCTCTCCCCCCCCTTTTTTACATTTCCCTGTAACAATCTTTCTTATTAAGCTACTAACTAATACTAACAACTTCCACAATAAGCTAAGACAGCCCTCTCAAACCAGAACCCCCTTCCTAAGCCCATTTATTCCTCCTAACGTACACTTGCCTGAGTAAGGGCTTATCAAATTTATACTATTGACGCCTTTGTTGCTTATTTGGAGCAATACTATGTTACTTAAGTCTTGTACTTGGTTTTTGTCGTCATGTAGACAAGATGTGATGAAGTGGCTGAAGCTTTGGTAGCAGAAGGCTTACATGCAGTCGCTCTTCATGGAGGACGTACACAGAGTGAAAGAGAGGCTGCTCTTCGTGATTTTAGAAGTGGCTCCACTAATATTTTGGTACTGTCATCTCTTAGAAAGTGGATGCTTCTAGTGCTATACATTTTGTACTTTTCCTAGGCTTTAATTTCTTCACAATTTCAGTTTCAAAATCAAAATGTATTTTTGTAAGATCTTACGAAATCCTTCTATCAAGACTGTGTATACAAGTGAGAACTTTGCAAATTTCTCTTTTCTTCCCCAACTCACACGTCCCGATTCATTTTTCTTGTTTGCTCTTGAATAGATCTAGGGAGTATCAAATATAAACCTGGAGTGGTGCAAGTTACTCAGCTCTTTGTTGCAGGTTGCAACTGATGTCGCATCTCGTGGTTTGGATGTCACAGGAGTTGCTCATGTTATCAATCTAGATCTTCCAAAGGTATATCAAATAAAAATATGCTTCCTTCTCAGGAAGAATAAAATGACTTGAAATTTGAGAACTTACTCGACCTTGTGGAATGCCTTTTATAAAATGATTATTGTCGCACAATGCAAATCTCACATATATCTTAGCATCTTGTTACCCATGGTATTTTAATTTCCCCTAAATAGCATACCTGAAGCTTCGTTTCTTGATGCCTCAATTATAGACCATGGAAGATTATGTACACCGGATTGGAAGGACAGGTAGAGCTGGATCAATGGGACAAGCTACTTCCTTTTACACTGACCGCGATATGGTACTTCTCTTCCTTCTTATGTCACTTCCTCATGCTCGCTCTTTCAATATCTGACCATCCTTCTTTTAATTGGTGACATTATGTTTAGTTTCTTGTTGCGCATATAAAGAAAGCAATAGCGGATGTTGAGTCTGGCAATACTGTGGAATTTGCAATGGGGAAGGTACAAACTTTTTCTATTAAAAAACTACTTCCAATATGCCATACCAGCCGGAACATTCCCATTTTTTTATTTAGCTTGAAGCTTGCTGCTGTTAAATGTTTAGATTGCAAGAAGGAAAGAGAGAGAAGCTGCAGCTACTCAGAGAGATGCTCGGATTGCTGTGTCCAAGCTCTCAATGAACGGAACCAATTCGCTAAACATCGAGGACAAGTACAGGTTCATGATTGCCTCATTAAGCATTAAAAGAGAGGGCGCAGCAGACAGTGCTTGGGATGATTGATGAAGCCCACACATAGAGCGCTTAAAATTTCGAAGGTTGGAAGTGGTTTGCGCATCTGTTTGGGTAAATGTCAGGTTTATGCAACTCTTGAAGTCCTCTGATCTATCCGAAAAGTTGGTCATAAACATTTCGTCCCTCTCCCTCTCTCTCTCTCTCTCTCCTCCCATCCAGTAAACACCTGTGGTGTTTGTGCAATTCCTACTTTTCATCATCTGTAAATTGTGTCGATGGAAAGAACGCATGTCTAGGCATGTTCTACTTGTTGGGGCTTGAAGTGTGAGCTATGCTGGAGATGATTGGTTCCTGTAGTTGTCTTCTCAGTTCTCTTTCACATCATTGATGTAACTAGGTAACTGTAACCGAACAGGAACTAAGAAGTTCGTAGGTTATGCATTCTGTACATCTTAAAATGAAGTTTAGTGTCCAAATGAAATTTTATAGTACTAGTTTTAATGAAAGCCCATTTGGGGTAATCGCGTTCATGTACTCTGCTTTATTTATTTCACATCCCTAGGTTCGTATAAACACAATAAATTATGCTTTGCTTGTTCGAAAAAAGGAAGAGCCGCAAACTAAATCCCTTCAAATTGGTCAAGACCAGCTCGAAATAAATGCAGCGTAGAACTTACGCTTTCTTGAAGCACGATGAATGCATCTCACGTCCTTTTTAGTCTATATAGCTTTCTTTGTTGTTACTAGTAAATTATATATATATAAAAAAAAGTAAGGCCGTTCGATATGGCCAACCTAAGACACTAAGAACCACAAGTTTTGGCCAGGTCAAATGGACTAATTTGAGGTTCATCATTGTTGGTTCATGTCTGGTCTTAATATTCGGGTTGGGCTGGGTTGAGAATTTAAGCTCGAAAGCTATTTGGATCAATTTGACCAGACTCAAATACCTTCTTTTTAAACATTTTTTTTAAACATTTTATAAAATTTCAGGCCTGAGTGAGCTAACCTTAGGCTAGTCGAGCTCTTCCCTTTAGGCCCGGTTTGAAATTTTCATATGAGTTGAACTGAGTAGCTTAAACTTTCACCTTTAGGCACTTTCTTATAGTGACAAACAAATAGGTGTAAATTAGGCTATTCAAATGATGTATTTGAAATCCCCATAGCAAAAGAGAAAAAAAAAAAGAAAAAAATGATGTATTTGAAATCTATATTACGTTTGGTGTCAAAATTTTGCTTAAATTTGAGAGATTAGAGAAACATGAGCAATAAAAATAAATAAGTCAAAATTTTATAATTAGTTAGTAAATAGGTTTAATATGTGTAAATCCAGATTTACACTAAATTAACATTTTAAAAAACCCCCAAATTAAAAAAAGATCCTCGCAATCTACACATAAATAGATTTACAAATAAACACAATATGTGTTTGATAGTAGATCCATCTTAAAACAGGGGGTTGAAGTGTAATTAGAACAAAGTTGGGGGGTAAGGTAAAACTTGGAATTACTGAGATGAGTTCGATGCATTTGTCTTATGAGTTGTGAATTTTGATTGGATTAGGAAAGGTTTGCTTGCGTGTATGAAAATGGCAGCTGGAGGAATTGCGTCAGGATCCAGACTTTTCTCGAAAGTTTTGAGGCCTCAATCTTCTGACGTTCAGGCCGCGGCCATGTGGGGCGTCGCCGCCGCCACTGGTGCCCTTTGGCTCATTCAGGTTTTTCTTCTCTCTCTCTCTCTCTCTCTAAAACTTCATTTTCTCGGCAACCAAACAAGACTGCCTACTATATTCTTCCCTCTGTTATTGCTAAACGCTAATTTCTCGTAGTTTCTGAAACTTCTGCTACCAAAAATCTTGTAAGAAAGTTCCGCATCTAACTTGGATTTCGTTTTGGAATATATTCCTGTAAAACTGGGTTTAAATCCTGACAAGTGGTACCAAGGATCTTAAAAATGGTTAGAAAGTGTGTTTATTTTAGGTTTTCCATTGAAGTTGGTCGTTTGCATGACTTAATTAGCTTAATTAGCTGACGTAATAAAGGAATGCACTAAGATAGAATGATTTAATTCACTAATCGTTTGATCTAGGTGCTTGGACTTGTTAATTTTAGTGTTTCCATGCATGTTTGTTTGATGAATTTAATGTTCAAAATGATTCTCTAGGCAATTAGATTATTTATCCTTGGTTTCATTTTCTTTCAAACTCCAAATGTGCACTTCTATTTCGTTATGTTGCATTACTCACTCTTTAAGGTTTCTGGGAGTCTTGAGGGCTTTAAAAAATGGTGTTTTGAGGTTGAAGCAATGAAAGAGGAAGTCATTGCTAGCAGTAACTACTTGTCATGATCCATTGGTTCGTATAGAATCCATGTCCTAGATGTATCAAAAACCATTCTTTTTGCTAAGGGTATATAATAAAATGGAGTGAAAAGGTCCACCGGAAACCAAGGGGGTACTAACTAACAGCTGAGTCCTCTCCAAACCGCAGGAGATAGTTGCCCATCATACAGCTCACCAACTTCACTTGCCTCTAGGGGAGAGTAACTCCGGGTTGGGAAAAGAGAAAGGAAAACTTGTCATTAATAAAAAGCCTTAATTCCTACTATCTGAGAGCAGAAGAACAAAATAAACAGATCACGTGCATAAAATCTACAGTGGTTCACTCTCAATGTGAGAGCAATGTCCACTTGCTGCAGCGAAATATCACTATAACGAGAGGAAGAAGTACAAGGCACAATTCACTCAAAATGCTCCTCTCAGCCTCTCTGTTTCTCCCTATGCAAAACGACCACCTGAAAATTCTCTTATTTGTTGCAAGAGTTAGGGCAAACTGATACACATGTTGATAACTTGATCCTTGACACACCCAACAAAGTTTCCTATTTTTTCCAACTCTTTTGCTCCCACAAGTTGTTTTCGATTTGGTGAGCTTTGTTATGCTACCTTTTTTTGGCTTACCCTTGCTATGGTTACATAATTGGCAAAGGGTGAACATTTGTGAATCTTGGCTCTTTACTTTTCCTTCTTGATTGAGACCTATGGTAGCAGGGTTCAAATTGTTTTCCTCAATAAAGCTATAGTGAAAGACAATCTTTGAATAACTGCTTGTGGATAATCTAACTTTCCTCAAAATTGAATAGATATTCGTTATCGCATATTATGTAATCGAGAATATTGTTATATCTTGGACAAATTAGACAAGCTAGCTTGGTCTTATGAACAACATAAGAAACTTGTGTGTATCGGGCCCCTAAATCCAAAATCAGTGTTGATTGTTACCAATTCACTACTGAGCCTTCCATTGGTTGTGTTTGTTGCCCGCTAGTCTGTCTTTTCAGCAATGAATAAGAACTGAGACATTGTAATATTTCGGAACCTTGAATAAGAATTGTGCCTTGTTTTTGCTAGAATTCACCAAATTGTTCTCCCAACCTATTAATGCATTTACCAGTTATCACATTTATCAATTTTGCATGTCTCTCGCTCTTTTTGTACCAATTGTTTTCTTCTTATGTTGGATTTACCTTTGTCTTAATTGCTTGCTGAATCATTCTCAATGTGTAAACAGCCGTTTGATTGGTTGAAGAAGACATTTTTGGAGAAACCTCAAGCTGAAGGGCAGTAACTTGTGAAGTCATGATGCGAGATCCAGCGTTTATGATCAATGCAATGAGGTTTCATTGAGAAGATTTAGGGAGATTCTCGTCTGTCGCAAATTCTATGTTTCTACATCTTGTTTCCACCTCCAAGCAGAGGCTTTTCTAATAAAAATAACTTGTTCATTACTCAATTACTTGTCATATTTTTATGCTGCAAACATTTAGTCTTATTAATATATATATATATTTTAATGAAGACATGGTGCTGCTTATAGAATTCTTCCATAACATGTTGAGAGCTTAATAATGCATGGTTCACCACCACTTTGATTGACAAATGAGCATGGAGTTCTGATTATCGTGACCCTACGGAGCATTAAAATATGAAATTCGCCTATGATAATCGCTAAGTTTGGTTCATCGGCAAGAAAATTGCTTAGATATATGATTCTTCAGAAATAAAAAAATTTTTTGGTCTGGGTGCAATAGTTAAACAACTTATTTTATGTTTCTCTCGCAATAAGCAAACAGCGCCTGTAGCTCAGTGGATAGAGCGTCTGTTTCCTAAGCAGAAAGTCGTAGGTTCGACCCCTACCTGGCGCGTTGATATTTGTATGTCTATCCTTTTCTCATTTTATATCTAATAAATAATATATTTTCATTTTTAAAAAAGGGTACATTCCCAACTTTGGTTTTTTTAAAATGAAAATCCTCAACTAGAGTTTATATTTAGTATTAACATGCAAAGTGATTACAGTTTAATAATAAAATGAGATAATGTGAAGCTAAAAAGCACGAATCAAAAATCATAGATAATTCACGGTACGATTTTAGGTTGAAGGACCACATTGTTACTGTATTAAATGGTGTGGATGGATTTTTTTTGTAATCTTATTATGACATGACATTATGCGAAGTCTGAACACTAATAGGTCAAGTGTTGGAGCATTGGATCATCTAAACGTCTGAGTGTCTGAGCATCTAAACATCCGAGTGTTCAAGTATCTGAGTGTCCGAGCGAACATTAATGCTCGGACTAAATGAGGAAGCTCGAAGGTCATAAGGCAACATCAAGTAACGGTCGACAATTAAATGCATTCAATGACCAATATTAAATCCTTACTGATTATTTATCGGTTGTAACACCCAAGATGTGAAGAGTTTTACATTGTAATTAAAGAGAGAATCAACTCTCGAATTAATGGGAGAATTAAACTCTCTATTCTCAATGTACTATAAATTCTCTCAATTTAAGAGGAAAAAAGACACTGAGACCCTGTTCATTTTACCGATACGAGTTTAGAATTTAAGTTTTGCTACAGTAAAAAGCTCTCAGAAACAGTCACATCTATTGTTTTTTACTATAGTAAAAAGTTATCACATAAAGTCACATATCAACTCGAATTAAAAACTCGAATCAACAAACTAAACGTGCCCAATTTTCCAAGACAAGAGCCTTGAGATTATAACATTTTTTGTCTTTGTTCTTCGAGGTTGTTCTGTTCTTAGAGTGTTCATTCAACTTTTTTAGATTATTTGTTTGTTTAATCAAGTTATTTATCTAAAAACGTTGATTATGGGTGAAATTTTACTCCAACATTTTTAAATTGTAGATTAGAGAACGACATTGTTACTTTTAAATTTTATATAACTAATCCAAGGAGTGAAAAAAGTATACTTTCTTCACCTTTTGCATAAAGGCTTTTTTTTTTTTTTGGCTCCCTCAAGAATACCTTCGGCACAAAGTTGTCGACAACATCAATTTTAACAGGTTCAGCCCTGAAATGATTGACGTTGATATCCTCAATTTTATCCTTGTACCGACCTGCTGCCTTTTTTCTTTCACATTCATAAAGCGTCTTTATATTATTGAACAGAAGGAGAAGAGCCAAGGCTTAAGAGTCTTAGACAGCGAAATTATGAGAGGAAAAAAAAAAAAGTCCTGAAATGCATATAACAATATATGGACAGAGGGTTTTCAAAACAACCACTGCTGTCCTAGAATCCAAGAAATAAAACGAGCAAACTTAATAGAATTACACAATTTCAGAAAAAAAAAGATCATTATAATAAAATTACACAAGCTTTCTATTATACTTTGTCCAGTAATTTAAGAAGAGCAAACTTAATAAAATTACACAACCTTTCTATCATATTTTGTCCAGTAATATTCTTTAGAGCAATCAAGACACAAATAGCCTCCAAGGTGGGGGGTTTACTAAAACAAATCGGACATTTACGTATGGCTCAACCCAAAAAAAAAAAAAAAAATACAGGTGAGGCACTATAAAAACATATGATACAAGATCAAATAGCTCTTTATGCTGCCAAAACTGGGACTCGCTTGTGCCCCATAAAAGCCTGCCGAAGCCTGTGATATCCATTCCTGTAGTGTTCAATAGACAAACATAGCTGCCTTATAGCCTCTCGTTTTTCTTCCGCTCCTTCCGAAATCGCAGCTCTTAGCCTCTCTACCTCTTCCTCTAAATCCCTCATTCTTGATCTCGTCTCCTCCACTAGTTTGTGTATCCCTTCAGCCTCGGCGATCAGTGCTATGCGCTCCTTCTGCAACTCTTGCAATTGCTTATCCAACTGATCTATCCTGTCATCTTTACAAGACACCTCTGCTTTAAGTGTAGAAACTATTGCATTTAAACCATCCCTTTCAGTTTTCAGAGAATCGAGGCTCTTGTTTAAAGTTACAATGCACTCGCCTTTCTTAATAGCTTCTGCCTTTAAATGCTCATTTTCACCATTAAGTCTCACCTCCATTTCTGATTTTTCGGCCTTGATCTTTCTAATCTCCTCCTCCAAACAGCGTCCCTGATTTTCCACCTCTCTAAGCTCGTCTTCCATACGGATACGTTCTTTGAGCAATTTAGATATTTCAGCCTTGACCTGTGCTTTTTCGGGGAATATCTTCTGCTCAGCATCTGATACTGCTATTTTCAAATCCATGATCTCCTTATCCCTGTCAGATAAACTTGTCTTCAACCTTGTGACTCTTTCCTGCAACTTAGAGACCTCCCTTTTCTCTGCATTGAGCTTGGCTTTCCAAGTAGCAACATCCTTCTGAGCTGCCTCAAGTTGAGTCTGCAGGTGGCGAATTTTATCATCGTTTTTATTTCTCTCAAGCTCATATCTCAAACTAGTAATTTCATTCTCTGAAACCTGAAGCCTGCTTTTTGTGATTCTCAGCTCTTCTACCAATGCCTGAATTTTCCCACCTGACTTCACAGAGTCTTCTAACCCATCAAAACTTTCGCGAGATTCTGATTCCTGATTCAACTCTGACTCCACGTCAACTCCGAGTATTTTAACCTCTTTCAATCCTGGTGATTCAGGCGCAGCTTGCGACGCTAAATTAAGTTCCAATGACTTGGAATTTTGGAGCTCAATCTTCAATCTATCAATCTCTTCTTCTGCATTCTGTAATTTCTTATTTGCAATCCTTAGCTCTTGCTCACATCTTACAATTTTAGAAAAAGAGTCTTCGGATGAATCACTTTTTTGACCCCTTGATGAGCCCTCCGCATTGTCTTCCTGTTGGATCCGGAGCTTCTCTTTTGCTTCACGGAGCTCAATTTCCAATTCGAGCATCTTTCTTTGCAACCCTTGATCGGCACCATTTCCCGACGCACCAGAGTAATTGTTGACCGAGGAATCATCAGATTCTGGCTCAGAATCTGTCAATGTAGATGATTCATCGCCCTCTCTGTGGTAATGATCAGAGCCACTTCCACCAGAACCAAGAAAGAAATCAAAACCAGCAGCTCGGTTTCCAGATTTACGGCGACCTAGCCTTTGATCAGGAGAGGGCCATGCAGACGGCAGATCAGAACCGCTTTCCGAAACTGTGGACCCCTGAGAGTGGAGGTCCGAGGGGAGATTCCTCCGCAGTTCTCCTGTCACATGATCATAACGTTCAGCCAGAGACCTGTACATGCGGTAAAACTCCTCCACATGAGAGATTAATTCAGGCCTCTTTTGATAATACATCTCAGCCTTCTTTGCAAATGAATCTCCATCCTCTTCAATCAACTTCAACATTCGTTTCACGCTCTTGTCCATCTCTGCAGTCAAGAAACGTTTTGTCATTTTCTTGTTCACGATTAGTGAAAATGAATCATGGGATTGAAATCATTGTGTAAAATTAAACTGCATAATTTGGAGATCTATTTGCAACCAAAATTTAGGCAGTGGAGAATTGAAGGTACCCCACATAATTAGATAAGGAATAGCAGATGCTAAAATTATCCAGCCACCATCAAATTAACCCGTTTTAAAATTTGCCTCATTTTTGGAATGGGAAATAAAGATCTTTAAGCTGTTATATCACTTCTAGATTGTAGGAATAGGCAACAGGTGTCGATTTGGAATCAGTCTTTTCCCAGAAAAAATTGAATATGATATGAATTTCGAATTTTTGTTTTTAAGGTAAACACAAATACAATTTTACACCAAATACTCTGGTCCTAATATGGCACACTAAATATAGATAAAATCACAAAAACAAAAGGGGGGATGGTTGAGATGTTTGCTGCTCACCTTCAAGATTCTCTGAGAGCCACCTAGAGTTTTTGGGACTAATGTGACTATCCCACCACCAGGAGTGGGACCTTTTTGGTTCTGTCCTTTTCATAATCTTGGATTGAACCTGAAATCCAAAAAAAAAAAAAAAAATTTATTCCCGACTTCTGAGACAATAGGCTCAAAATCAATTTATGAAGAGAGAACAAAGAGCGCCCTCTTTGAGGACCTAACTACTCATTCAACTGCATTACACACGTATGTGGTCACTACAGATGCAAATCAATGACGCATGATAAATGGTGCAAATCGAATACATTTTTATTTTCTCATCAACATCCTATATTAGGCTGGCAATTCATCCATTCTACACCCCATCTCTGCATTTGACCAAACTCAATTTCTTTCTACTTCTACATTTATTTATTTCCATAATTGGTGATTTCAAAAGAAAATAAAAGGGGGAAAAGGGAAAAAAAAAAGAAAAAAGAAAAAAGAAAACTATGCTTTGGACTGAGAATCCATTGACAAAAACGAGGCTGGAAGAGAGGAAGAAATCCTGTATAACTAACAATAAAAGCAACCCAAATTTACTTCCTCCTAAATCCCATCAAAGTTGAACTGAATTTAACTAGCAGGACAAAAAGATCATGCTTCTATACATGAATCCTAAGCTTCTATACATGAATCCTAAGCTTCTCAAAAAACTAGAAAATAGATTAGATAAATGTTCAATTAAAAAAAGAAAAAAAAAAACAAACACATTCGAAAATACAAAAGAAACAAAAACATTAGGTTGGGAATAGGATAGCAATTCTCACCAAGGAAGTAGCCATTTGCTACTTTGGTTTGAAAATGAAACCTGGGTCCCAACCTTCAGCCTAGTTTAGCTCTGCAAAATACAACATTACAATTAAATTTACACCATATTACAAATCCATCCAAAAAGTTCAAGTCTTTCACATTAATTTCTACATTACAAGACAAAAACTACCGCACATTTCAACTGACACCATGACACAGTGCATGAACCAGTAATGACAAGAACAACCGACTTTGCGGGGAAATTAACAATTAAAGGACTACCTTGGGCCTTCTGAGGCCCAAATACACAATCCCGTGAACTGTGAAGCACAGCGATTCCATGGCGCGTGGAAAACACGCACAAACTGCGCGATAGAGAAGATAAAAAAGAAAAAAGCCTAAAAAGAAAGGAAAAAAAAAAAACAAATACATCATCTATGACGCGGGAATTGACTAAACGAAAATATACAGACTGTCCGAACAAAAGTTCCAGCTATTGCTTACCACCGAATCCCAAAAGGTTCTGCAAAAATCTGCACGATTTAATTATAGTTTCGCCTCGACAATTTGAATTTTGGACGAAAGTTCTGGAGAAATGATCGATGATAATGATTTAGGAATTCTAAAAATTTAAAAACAGATGAATTAAAAATCAGATATTAATGCCTTAATTAATGGATTTTTCTTCAGAAAGTATTCCGTGAAATTCCAGAAGAGTACAGAAAGAGACTCGAAAAACCATCATAAACATAAACGATCATACGCCGATATCTCTTACCTAGGAAATTAAAATGAGAAATTCGTAAATTGCTCGAATATTCGACAAAACTTATTAAAAACGCGATTTTGTAACCGAAAAACAAAAACAAAAATTGATTAAAAGATAGTGTTTTTGTTTCTGAAAACCAGAAATGATCCGATACACAGCTCCAAAAGAAGCGGAAACAACAGAAAAACAGATTTCGAGTCTTAAAAAAAGTAGAAAAACAGATTCATAACAAAACGAAAAAGAAAACTAATTCCATCCAAAATTCAAAGTAAGAAGAAAGAAAAGAGGAATGAGGGGAAAGCTTACGGAAGAAAAGAACGACAGATCCAAGTGAGAGAGAGAGAAGTTTTGAATTTGGAGAGACGAGTGAAGAGAGAGTCTGAAGTGGTGTCTGTCCAAAAGTTTTGGAATTCTCAAGGCTAAAGCGCTACGCTCCAGAATAGTTCAAAAGAGAAAAAAAAAAAAAAAGTTAGAAAAAAAAGGAGGAAAGACAAAAAAGTTTTTTCTTTTTTCTTTTTTTTTTTCTTTTCATTTCCGTCACTGGTTCGTTCCTCCCTTTGAATACAATAATCAGCGAAGTCAAACACTCATTATCCAACTATTCGTGAAAGCTATATTATGTATAAACTGCATTATTAGATTTTTTTTTTCTCTCTTTCTCCGGCACTCTTTTTAATTATTTTTCTATTTTAAAAATGTTTTTAGAAAAGCCACTACGAGTCCACATCTTTCTATAATGTATATAATAATATAACAGATTTATGTTAAAACAAAAGTGTTACATGCCCGTCGATTTTAATTTATCAAAAACCTTTTTTTTTTTTTTTGCTGATCTATTACACTTCAAAAACCTATTTTACTCTACCATGTTATCTTATTATGCCTCGTGTCATTGCCGTAACAGGACGTTTCGTCTCTTTTTATTATTATTATTTTTTTTGGTGATCAAATATAGAAAATTATCACAACAAAACAAGAGATGAAAAGGGCCAAAAAAAAAAAAAAGAGAGATCGAAGAATGTAAATTGAAAAAAAAAAAGATTAAGGAGATCAAAGGACAACAAAAAAAAAGACCAAATTGATCTTTTCAGAGTAAAAAGAGAGAGAGAGAGAGATCAAAAGGATATGATTGTCCAAACATTTACATACATGTTTTCAAAAAATGTACGTATGGGATACTCATTAATATTATATTATTTTAAAGGATATGGGCTTGTTATTTGTTCCCATTATAGTTCAGATTTCAGAAAAATACGTGAATTTTATACATATTATTAAAAAATAAAAAAATCTATATACATACGTACAGTGTGGCCCACCGGCAATTAACTTCAACCGGTGGAAATCGCGTAAGAGTATGGGTTGGTGATTGCTTTAGATGGGCCCACCATTGTTTGTCCACAAAAACATGGGCACGATATGAATTTAAATCTATGCACGTGGCGATAGAACAGGAACATTGTCCAAAATCAATATAAACGTTTCGTTCAAATTTTTTTTTTTTTAAAATCGATATAAAGGTATTTTTTCTTTTTCTTTCTTTCTGTTTTTTTTTTTTTTTTTTTTTTGCTGAAAAATCACGTCTCAAGATAATGTTATCTTTTTCTTTTTTAAATTGATAATTGAAATCACGATAGCATTGCATGGTCTTTTAACAATCACCTTTCACACTTATTTGATTTTGATTTGATTTTTCTTTTTGTAAAGAAAATACAAATTTATTCAACAGAAAACCATATAATACATATTTAAAGCTATCACAACTCACGATGGAGAATTTTGCGCAGCTCGCAAGCTATCTTAACTTTCTACGGTCAAAGGAAAGGAAAATAACCCAATACCTGTTTTGAATTGATCATCTCAATATATTTTCTTCAATTAAATAATTTCCGATCCATATAAATCGCATTGTTGGGATTTTTAATTACATTATTCACCTTTCCAAGTCTTCGCACGTTTGATAAGCAAAAAAGTCTTTGCACGTTTACTATACTTGTCCGTAGCTTATACTGGAGTGATGTTTCCTCTTTGGTATGTTTTTTTTTTATTACATCATGCACTTTTTATACTTTGAGAAATCGTCTCAATTTTTTTTAACAAGAGGAGAGTATTTAGCGCTATAATTGCTTAAACTTTTCATGCTTTGATAAATTGTCCAAAAACTCATTTTCACAATTCCTTACAGGTGAAACGATTACATTTTGATCCAAATTGTTAATACCGTGTAAATTGATAATAAAAGTACGCGAAATACGCTTCATATTTTAACATTTTACTCTCAAATTTTTTGTGCTTTGATGGATTGACACATGAACTTTTTATTTTAGAAAGTAACTAATTTCAATATGTCCCCCAGTTAAATCATAATTTGAAGCACTTGACAACGGTTTGATAAGTTTATAGGTAAACTTTTAAGGATTTCTATGGTATGTTAATGTAGTCAAGCCCCGAATTTACGGCAAAAATGTGGGCCAAGAAATTATGAATAAGTAGGTTTTTTTTTTTTTTTTTTCTTTTTTTTTTTTTTTACTGAAACGATTGTCCATATATTGTAGGACAACATTTTAAAAATATTCTCTCCTAAAATTTTTTTGTACTTTGTAGATACAGCTAGTATGAATGTATATGCACATAACTTTACTTTTTAAAAGGCAAACATGCCACTAGTATTTTCAACAATGTGTTGATATTGCTTGCAATGAATCTCTTCCCCTTTCTTCTCTCTCTAGCTTTTTTTTTTTTTTTTTTTTTTTCAAATAACGGACTAGTTCTCATAATAATTCGTAAAATGTAGGTCCATATTAGTCACATAAGCAGAACGTAACCAACATGCATGTTTCCATCACATTTAGCTTCATAACTTTAGTTGGTTCCACATGATGCAACTGTTGCATATGCAATGTTTCATATTTCAAAGCACATTATGACGCTAGACTTTATCACCTTATGATACGCTACTGAAATCATTTTTCATAACATCATATATTACCACACTCACCGCTGCTAGAGCTCATATGTTGTTTGCACTCTGAGTTTAGTGTAATATTTTTAAAAATGCATATTCTTAGTTTAGATTTCTATCCTATTTGTCTATGTACATTTCATATTAATATAGTAGCAAGGCCGGCTCAACGGGTATAATTAGGCAATTGCTTAAGGTGATCACCTTGCCAAAAGGCTAGCACATGCATTTAGTTGGAGCTATATTCTATATATCTTCTCAATTTTAACTTATTTTAAGTCTATTAGAAAGTATATGGACACAAGAATTATGTATTGTTTTTATGGTTATAAAGTTGCAAGCTTTTGTCAAGTGGCCGTGTTGACTAATAATCAATGTTATATGCTTGTGTGCCTATGGAAACGATTGAGTTTAGGCACTTCGTCCATGGGAGATTTTTTTAACTACCCCTCAAAATGGTACAACAAATTATTATTAACCCTTAAATATTATCTCTTTAAAATAAATGTAGTCAAACATTAATTAAAGACATAATATGTAGATTACTAAGATACCCTCAAAGTAAATTGATAATTTACAAAATGTCGGGTGCCTCCGTCCGCTACTTTTCCGGAGGCCATCCAACGGCTTTTTTGGCAACCGTCGATGGATTTTTCGGCGACCCTCCGATGACTTTTCCGGCAACCGACCGGCAGTTTTTTTGTCAAAGCTCCAGCAAGTTCTCCAACAACCCTCCAACGAGTTTTTTGGTGACCCTCCGGTTACTTTTCCAGCAACCCTCTGCCGGCCAACCATAGTCTGTCAAGCTATGACCCATAGTCTGATAGGTTATGCCGACAGACGGATCTTCGGTCGCCGCCTGACCTATGCTGCCAGACTATGACCCATAATTTGTCAGGCTATGACCCATAGTCTGACAGGTTACACTGGCTAGCGGGTCTCTGCCCGCCGGCCGATCATAGTCTGTCAGGCTATGACCTATAGTCTGCCAGACTATGACCCATAGTTTGTCCGACTACGACCCATAGTCTTTCAGGCTACCCATAGTCTGCCAGGCTATATAACCCATAGTTTGCCAAGCTATAACTCATAGTCTTCCAAAATACACCGATTGGCGGGTCTCCAGTCACCAACCGATCATAATCATTCAGACTATGACCCATGGTCTGAAAGGTTATATCGACAGGCGGGTCTTGGTCACCAGGCGTCAGTCATAGTCTGTCAAACTATGATCCACACTCTAATAAGTTATGCTGGTGTCGATCATAGTCTGTCAAATTATGATCCACAATCTGATAAGTTATGCTAATGCCGGCCATAGTCTGTCAAACTATAAATCATAGTCTAACTATTGATAGATTGATCTATAGTCTGATAAGTTATGCCAAAAGCCGGTTATAGTCTATAGACTATGATCCATTTCAACCTGTTTAAATCAATTTCTAAGGCTAAAAAAGTATGGAAAAGTATACAAATGATTAGCCTCACTAAATAGCAGTAGCTTAAGATCAAACAAACAACATGACATATAATCCCTGAAATAATTCATCAGTCCACAACCACAACCACAACCATGGACATAAAAGCCAAGCCAAGTCTAAAGAATGCATGAAAATACTCCAGCTAAAAAATCCTCAAACAAATTTATACAACAAACACGCAACATTTTGTGCATGATCATGTCCAAAAGTTCCAAACTAAACATCCATAATAACCAGCGTATGCCTCCAGATACTTGTACCTGTTGCATTTAATCTCGTCCCTAATGTATAACTTGTTGGCATAAGAACTAACAAGGGATGAGAATAGAAACATTTCAAACTTACTTTCTTTCTACCAAATGTATGCCAATAAGTATTAGAGAAAATATCTCTCTTATCCACATCCTATGCTATCCTCCAACAACACAACCCTTAC